AATAAAAAAAGAGAAGAAAATGATTCAATGCTGTTCATTTTGGTGTAAGTTTTGGTGTAATGGTTGAAGATGATTTTTAATTAGGTGCAAGATTTGGGGTGAAAGGGTTGGAGATGAACTAAGTACAACCATTTATGTGATGATAATATTTTGAGATTTTTAATTCAATTTATCATCATCTCATCAATTTGTAAAAAAATATGTACAACAACCATTTCTCTGAGAATAACCTACATGAATTGGGGACTGATAGATCAAGAAGGGGACGAAGTTTTGCATTGAATTCAATTCAGAAGAGATTATTATGTTGACACCACCTCCACCGTGGTCGATAAGGGCCAAGATGTTACACTGGAAAGCATCTCCAACGTGCTGATGCCTCTATTGCTGTCAAAATCCAGCTGAAAAATCTCACTTTCGTCATGGTCCGATAGCATTTTCTTGCCACTGTTCGAGTTAAGGTTTTTCGCATTTCGGGTTTGGGTTTGATTGGTGATGATTTGTGGTAATGGTAGCACGATGGTTGTGAAATGAGCAAAAGAATCTCAATTTTTTTGGGGGGCTTTTGTTGTGTGAGAATTATGCCAAGACATTGTAGATCCTAGTGATCAAAGGGAGCTGTGATATGTTGTCCAATTAGTTATCCAAACAATTTATTATTAACATATCACCAGTAATTAACACATTATTTCAAATTGAACTTCATCACTAACCCACTAAATTGATGATATGTTAATAATTAATTGATTGGACGGTCAATTAAATAGCAAAATTGGACCACATCCCAACTCAATTGAAGGTGGTGGTGCTTTGGGGATGAAAATGGTAATGGTGGAGATAAAATGCTATCGGTGATTGTGGGCGTGGTGAAGTTTGATAAGAGATGATGGGCTTTCACAATGGTGGTGCAATGCAGATCTCGGGAATGGGTGGTGGTGCTATCCTTTTTCGATAGTGGAGATGACGACAATGGTGGTGGTGATATAAAAATAAATGTTATAAGTGATGGGCTGGTGGTGGTGCCGTAACAATGAATGTCACAAGTGTGGTGGTACCAAAAGTGGTGGTGGCAGTGTAAATGTTACACATGGTGGTAGTGTCAGTTGTCGTGATGATTGTGAAAATAAACGGTAAAATGTGTGTAACACCATGTTATAAGTAATAGTAACAGTGGCGTCTTTGAAAACATGGCAATGAAATGTGTGTAACATAATTTTATAATATGTCACACAGTGTGTTATTAAATTATAAAAATAATAAAATCATATATAATAAAAATTTTAAAAATATGGAATT